CCCAGATTAGGGTCCGCGCACTTAACCACGACACCAACCTGGAGAGGAAGCCAGGGAAGTAGTCTCTTCACATCCCAAAAAGGGTAAGCACGCTTTCCACAAACTGATCCACATAAATGGGAATGCCAGTAGGGGGTTGGAGGGCTATCCAGTGTATTGCCGTGAGTGCAACATGTATGACTCTCTGGCAGCTGGACAGAAGTCATGGGGGCGTGTGCTCGGTGCAAGGAGCTCCTGGTTCTCAGACGAGTTTGCTCCCTTGAGGCCAAGGTGGCTGACCTGGAGAAGCAGAGACAGTCAGTTAGGCACATGGATAAGACTCTCGGGGACTTGTTAGAATGGCAGCTGCCTCCACTGTCGGGGAGCATGAGGGTCAAGGGGAAACCTGGCACCGTGCTGATGAAAGGGGGAATGTGCCCTCAGAAGGGGCCCCCTTCTACAGTTGGTGAACAGATATCCTTTTGCACCAAGGAACCATCCCTGGTCAGGGAGGGAGGAGGTCTCTTGGTAGTTGGTGATTCGATCCTTAGGCATGTAGATAGATGGGTTGCGAACACCTGTACTGACCGCATGGTGACTTGCCTGCCTGGTGCAAACGTAGTGGTCTAAATAGGCTGGTAGACAGTGCTGGGGAGGAGGTACATGTTGGCACCAACGATGTGGAGAAGTATAGATAGATAAGTTTTATTGTCTTAGCCATAGGCCATAACAAGTCACACCATGGTTGAGTAAAAAAATACATCAGACTATAACATGACAGTGTAGGCACTAAAAATATTAGTAACTACATTAAATCCTACACTCATTCTACTTTACATTAAATACTAGGTTCATTCTGGTTTTCCTTGATGCGAAGGCAAATAGCGCCATTCTACTAGAAACATAGCGGTCAAGGTCCGAAAGTAAAAATTTGACCAAATCCAGACCAGAGAATCCATTACTTGGTGGAATAATAGGTATGATGTACCTTAACCTGGGAGCTTCATGCCATGAACATCTCAAAATGGCATGTACTATATCATCTACTTCCCCCGTGTCACAAAGACAAAGTCTAAGGGGGGCAGGGATACCAAAAAACATCCAGTCCTGATCATTGAGGGTACAGATTGAAATCTTAAAGCCGTAAAAACTGATCTTAATTCCAGGATGGTTAACTTCTCTAAACAGAGGGACCTGCAATGATCCCTTTTAAAAAACTTAAATAAGGGTGCCGTAAGACAGTGTGCCAACACACTGTAGTTGTGTGATCCTGGAGGAAAAATTTAGGCTGCTTGGCAGGAAACTCAAGGCCAGGACCTCCTAGGCAGCCTTCTCAGAAGTGCCTGTTCCATGTGCAGGGCCAGCCAGGCAGGCACAAATTAGGACTCTCAGTTTGTGGATGAGATGATGGTGTAGGGAGGAAGGGGTTGAGTTTGTTAGGCACTGGAATGCTTCTTGGAACAAGCAGGACCTGTAGAAAAGAGACGGCCTCCACTTGTCCCGAGAAGGAACCAAGCTGCTGGCACTTAAAGTCAAAAAGGTGGCAGGGCAGTTTTTAAACTAAACCCTGGGGAAAAGCTGACAGGAGACAGAATGTCTCTGGTTCGGGATGGCTCATCTCTAAGAGATGAAGGGGCAACTGTTACTGTTCTAGAGAGAAATGGATTAGGACTGGCCACTCAGAGGGTAACAAACAACATTGACTGTTTGGCAAGTTCTAGAGACCGGAGGAAGGAGATTGCAGGCCCAATGTGTCTGGGAAATTATAGATGTTTATATGCAAATGCTAGAAGTGTTCAAGGTAAAATGGGGGAGCTGGAATGCTTAGTGTCAGAGGAGAACACAGACGTTGGCATTTCAGAAACTTGGTGGGGTGAGGATAATCAGTGGGATTCAGTGATTCCTGGATATGATTTACATTGGAAGGATAGGGAGGGAAGGGTCGGAGGTGGAGTGGCTCTGTATGTCAGAGAGGGTATAGTAAGATTGAGAATGTAAGAGAGAAAGATTCACTTACAGAAACACTATAGGTGGAAATAGTGGGTCCAAAAGGAAGCTTAACTCTGGGAGTTGGTTATCGCCTACCAGATCAAAGGTTTAGAAGATGATTTAAAAACAAGGAAAAAATGAAGGAAAGCAGCTAGATGAAATAACTGTGTCGTAATAGGTGATTTTAACTACCCACACCTTATGTGTTCAAATCAGGAGAAAAATATTGGGTTTCTAGATACTCTTAATGACTGTGCCATGGAGCAGATGGTCAGAGAACCTACCAGGGAAATGTTACCCAAAATAGGCAGTATCCATTTAGTTTAGGGGAATTAGCTTGGAGACAGAGCAAGAGGTGGGTAATTGGGATCTCCACCTATGTATATGGGGATTTATCCCTAAGAGGGATAACCCTAACCTCAGAAATAACCAGGCTGTTGTTTATGGGACAGGTTTTTATTGGAACAAAAAGAAAACAGAATAAAACCAGGGTTCACACAGCGAACACATACAAGAGCTAACTAAGAGAATCAGGGAGGAAAGGAGAAAGTGTTGTAGGGATGGGTGATAAACACTGCTCTTGAAAAGGTCTGTGGAAGCAGCAAAGTCAAAGAGAAAACAGTTTTTCAGGACCCACATGCAAGTGGGGGTGTGAGGGGGATCCAACCTGGGGCAGCAGGTTGACATATTTATAGGGCAAAACATATCCTGAGGGGGTGGAGCTTCCAGCTCCTCTCTCCTAGTCCTTTTAAAGATTTAGAGGGGCATAATCAGAGGATCGTTGGATATTTCTTCAATGTTGCTTTTTACAAGTACTCACTGTAGACATCTCCATCGATGTTGCTGATGAGGCTCACAATTGCTGCCTTGCCGGGGGTTCACAGCTTGCGCAAAACATGGCTGCTTATGCTTGCTCTACTTTGTTCCGTGCTTCTGGGACGATCCAGGGCTCCCACCCACGTGCAGCCGCTCGTGGGGGGCCCGAATCAAGTCCCCTGCCCTGGATCCCCCGAAATCTCCTTTAAAAGGAACGGAGTATCATCCGTTCCCTGGAGCAAATCCTGGTGTCGACCTTAGCGCTGTGCCACAGCCCCGCCCCCCAGGAAAGGTTGCTGGAACTGGGTATGTTTAGCCTGGAGAGGAGACAACTGAGAGGTGATCTCATAGCCATCTTCAAGTATTCAAAGGGTGGCCCTATAGAGGATGGAGCAGAATTGTTTTCTGTTGCACCAGAAGGTTGGATCAGAACCAATGGGTTGAAATTAAATCAAAAGAGTTTTGGGCTCATCATTAGGAAGAAGACAGTCAGAGCGGTTCCTCAGTGGAACAGGCTTCCTCGGGAGGTGGAGGGGGTGGGCTCTCCTTCTCTGGAGGTTTTCCAGCAGAGGCTAGGTGGCCCTCTGACGGTGATGCTGATTCTTAGGCGGATCATGAGGGGGAGGGCGGGAAGAGGTCAGCCAGCGCTCAGCTCTCGTGGCTCCTTCTTACGTGCCCAGGGTAATGCCAACTGCCACTCTGGGATCAGGAAGGAATTTGCTTCCAAGCCAGATTGGCCCAGGGGTCCTGGAGGCTCTTTGCCTTCCTCGGGGCATAGAGCGGGGGGGGGGGGGTTTGTCACTGGGGATGTGGTGGGGGGGAGGTAGCTGTGAATTTTCAGCGTTGTGCAGGGGGCTAGACGGCCCCGGAGGTCCCTTCCGGGCAGCTCGGTGTTCTGCGTTTCCTCTTGGTTCAAGGTAATAATTAAAATGTCCCCAGCGATAATTAAAATGTCCCCAGCGAAAAGTAAAACAACGTTTACTAACAAGGAGGGGGGAGATTTTGCCTAGAGTGTAGTAACTTGGAATAGCTGCTTGTCGGTTCCCTTGAAGCAGAATTTCCGACTCCCCTGTGATATCTTGGCAGGGGTCAGGCAGAGATTGCATCCGGTGCAGGATGACTGGTTCGCTGTTCTAATCTGCACTGTGCATTAGCTTAAATTTCCCCAGGGAGGAGAACAGGGCATGAAAGTGTTGTCTGCAGAGAGACACACCCCCTCCCAATTCCACCACATTGTCTAGGTTTGTCCCTGATCTATTCAGGTGTGTCTGTTCCACTTTTCCTCTCACCAGAGGTGCCTGAGAATATTGGGGCTTCTCTCTGCTCCTCCAGATCAACGCCATGGAGCATGGTGCAGTGTCAGGCTGGAACCGGGGAGAGGCCGGTTCCGATTCCCAGACTGCCATGAAGTTCACTGGATGATTCTCTCTCAGGCTGGCCTACCTCACAGGATCGTTGTGAGGGTGAAATGGGCACGGGGGGGGGGAGCTACCTCTACTGCCCTGATTTCCTTGGAGGAAGAGTGGGATATACAGATTAGATCAAGCACCGTGTTTGGGGGCTTTCCAGGAGGCTTTGGAGTGAGATGGCCAAGCTTCAGGCTGGGGACGCCTGGTCTCCCGGGCAGGTGAGCCTCGGCACCCACGGAGGTTTTGCCCACCTGCTGTGTGAAGTGGCTCATCCCTCTGTGGGTTCTGGAGGGACTCCTCCCTGCAGGCAGCAGATTGTTTGTTTGTTTGTTTATTATTCACGGCTGCCCTTCCCCCACCCACGGAGGGCCAAAGGGGGCCCACAGTAGCCTCCTCTTAGGCCCCATTGGGATGCCGGCCCTGAATCTCCACACAACTGTGTTGACCCCTGGGGGTCCCGATGACCGAGACCCACAGAATCAATGGAGTGGGACTCACAGTACGCTGAGCCCCCCCTCCCCTTCGCTTTGTTCCTGGGGGGGGGTCAGTGGACTCTCAGGAACTGTGGGGAAAGTGTGTGTGTGGGGGTGTGTGGATGTCTGCAGTGGGAAGGGAGAATCAACAGAGATTGCCGCCCCCCCTTTCGTGAATGGACCCGCTGTTTCGAAGAGAGAGAGAGAGAGAGAGAGAGAGAGAGAGACAAGGGATAGTTTTGAGGCGTCCTCCGTGAGACGCAGTGAGATCCAAGGCCACTGATGTGCCCCCCTCCCCCTCTGTGTGCGCATGTCGCCCCCCACCCCCCTCCAGCGAGCAGCACCCTCTCAGCCAGCTGGTCTCCGACTCGGACTCCGAACTGGACAGCACCGAGCAGCTGGCCCTGGGGAGCACCGACACCCTCTCCAACGGGCACAAGGCGGACCTGGAGGCGGCGAGACGCCTGGCCAAGCGCCTGTACGGCCTGGATGGCTTCAGGAAGGCAGACGTGGCCCGGCACCTGGGGAAGAAGTACGTGTGGGTATTTCGGAGAACGGCCTCCTCCCCCCCCCCGCTCCCCACCCCAAGGGCCATTCGCTCCCTCTTGTGGCCACGGGGGTCTGCTTCAGCCGCCTGAGACCACCCTGCGGAGGAGGACAGCAGACGAGGTCTGCCAGTGTTGCCTCCGGGGTCAGGGCAAAACCTTTGGCTAGGCGACCATTCCTGGGGGGGGGGGGACTGGGCTGTCTGCGTCCGGGCTGCTTTTCCTCTCGCCCGAGGGGAGCATTCGCACCCACCCCGTGCAGCCCCGATGAGGCGCAGGGTGCCACTAGGGAGTAGTGCTCTCCTTCCTGGGTGAGGCGTGCCAGTGGCCCTTCTTCTCCCAAAGGTTCCCAGCACTTCTGGCCGGCCTGATGTGGCTTCTAACCTGAGCCTTCCCATGTGCTTCATCGCCTCTCCTCGGTTTCTGCCCCCTTGGCTCAGGTGGCATGGGCTTTCCTTCTTCCTTGTTGACGGTGTTTTCTCTCTCCCTTCCAGTAATGATTTTAGTAAGATGGTCGCTGGGGAGTACCTGAAGTTCTTTGAGTTCGCCGGCATGAGTCTGGACCAGGCACTCAGGTGAGTCCTCCGGGAGGGGTGGGGTGAAGTGGGGTGGGGAGAGAGATGCGCTGTCTCTGGAACTGCCCCAGAGGCACGCAGCCTTTCATGAAGAGATTGTCACGGGCACCCGCCGGACAGTTCCTTTGATGTCAAGAGACATTTATTTCCCTTTTGCCTGATCCCCTCCGGTTTCCCCCAGGAGGGCGCCACCACTGCCACTGTAAAGTCTCTGCCAATGAACACCAGGGCCCCCCTGGGACTGGCCGCCATTCTGCAGGGCCTGCAAGGCAGAGACGCAGGCGCCACCAGGCGTGGGGTTGAGGACAGCAGCAGTTTTTAACAGCAACTGAATCTATCCGTCACCTCACTCTCCTCCTCCCCCCATGTTAATGTTAAATGGTGCTCAATTTTTTACTGTGGCGCCATGAAGGTATTGTGTAGTGGGTTGCCGCATGGATAGACGACAGACGACAACGTAGTGCATAGCACGCTTTATTAGGCACACAACAAGACGGAGAACAACGGCCCGGGGGGGGCCAACTATATACATCCCTGGGGACACACCCCTGGTCACCATTGGTGGGTTTGAATCTCCCGCCACGGATCCCATTGGCTCCCCAGTGGAGGGACTAGGAGCCTAGTCCCTATTATTGTCCCAGAGTCAAGCTCTGGCAGCTCTGGCTGACCGCTGGCCCCCCGGTGGCGGTCAGCATACACAACAGAAGGCGTAGGTGTTTTTTTAATAGAATGTTTCATTGTTTTAATTTTTCCTTGTTTTAAAATGTTGTACACGGCTCTGAGCCCACCCTTTGGGGAAGGGCAGTATAGACATTCAGTGACATAAACAGAAATGCCACAAGGTTGTCCTGATCCTAATCGGACTTGCCATGCGGCAGGCGGAGGGGCTCTTGTCCCCTCCCCCCCACATGCCTTGACAAGTGCCAGAATGGCTGCACTCACACACACACACCTTTCAGCTCTTTCCAAACTTGAAAAGATGTGTGTGGGGGGGGGGGGGACAAAAGTGCCATCCTGTGGATCTGCTCAGGGTCAGGCCCTTGCAGCATTTACAAATGATTTTAAAATGGCAGCTTTATGCCACACGGAGGCCACCACGCTGTCTAGTTTGGCCCCGTCCTGCAACATCTGCAGTGCAGTCCCGTGCAGAATTACCCCAGTCTGGGTCCACTGAAACCGCTGGGCCTAGACTGGAAGGCCCTCTGCACAGGGTGGCGCAGGGTGTGGCTCTCCAAACAAAAGCCGTGGGTCAGGCATTCGTCTTCCCCGAGGCAAAGTCTTTCCTTCTTTCCCCCTTCTGAACCTCACACAGTTTAATGGGGGGGGGGGGGGAGAACCCAGTGAGCATTTTGTGCACGTGGAACTCTCTTCCTACAAGCCAGGCTGCGTCCCCATCAGCCTGGAATCGGCATGGCCTGGTTGTTCCCTCAGGCTCTCATGGGGAAACCAGCATTTTCTCTTTACCCTCTTATTTCAGACCTGTGTTTGGGCTACTTTTTCCCTCACTTGAAGGGGCAGCTGCAGAATGATCCCTCTTCCCACCCTGGGGAGATCAATAAAGTGGCCTCCTGTCCCTTTCAGCCCCCCCCCACCCTCTTCTGCCTCTTCTTCTTCTGCCTCTTCTTCTTCTTTTTGGTGGCCCTTGTTAAAGCTGACAATGTAATGAAAGGCCTCTTTTGACGCAGTTAATTACTTCCTGTTCACTCCCTGGTTCAGTTCCTTTTCTCTGGAGAGAAGCCATTAGTTAACACATTTCATTGTGTGCTTATTAATATTTTAATTTTTTTTAAATGATTGCAATGTTGTAATTGTGCACTTATGGTAGTAATTTAAAAAAATAAACAACTTCAGCTGCAAATGGGGGGCTGAGTAATTAAAACCTCCCTTCCTTCAGGGAAAAGGAATTGATTAAGGATCAGTTCAGGAACACTGAGGGGCCAACATCACAGGTGAGCAAGAAAAGAATTTATCGATTAGGCCACAGAAAAAGCGGGGAAATAACAAGTCCAAAGGGGCCATGAGGATGGAGAATCAGGAGGACCTGTGCTGACTGGGCCTTCCTTCCAAGCAGGGGTCATGTCGTAGAAAAAGAGGTGCAGGAGCACATTAGCATAACTCATTAGCGTAACTTATTTGCATATGCCACACCCCCTGACATCACCGGAAGTGTGTCAGAAGGCAGCGCCCACCGCTCAGGCTCCACTGGACTCTTTTGGATTCCTAGCTATTGGGGGGGGGGGACATGCAGATCTGCCCTCACAGAGGACGGAAAGCTTGTATGGCGGGCCGGGGGGGGGCCTCTGCAACTTACCTGGCTGCTTCTTGCTCCTCCTGGCCTGACTGAGGGCTGGTGGGAGCAAAGGGCAGGGCTTGTTGCATGTGCCCACCCCCTGGGCTCCTTACTGCTGGAGCTCTGCTCCTGTGCGCTCCCGCAGGAAATAACCCCTGCTTCCAAGTAGACATAACAGTAGGCTCTTGCCCTTGGGATGGGCTCTGTCAGATTATTAAAGGAAAGGCAGCGCTCTGTGAAGGGCAGCTGTGGGAAACTCCTGTTGCAGCTCTGGAAGAGATGGTGAAAGAGGCTGGGCTTGAGATGGGAAATAGTCTTGGGGGGGGGGGGACATCCCCATCTGCCAGTAGAGAACATTGTGTATTTAAGTACGTAGAATAGCTCTGCAATAAGTGTATTCTACAGTCAGTATGCAACATTTAATAATGAATCCTGTGACTGACCCACTAGATGTCCAGAACAAACTCATTGATAACTCTGAAGTTCATAGACAGACGGGCTTCCTATTGGAATTTAAGCGAGGTTGCCGGGTCTCCTGCTGTGGTGGCCGACGTCCCACTGCGGGGGCCACCCTTCTTCTTGCCTGCCGCCGCTTGGTTGGCTCTGGGGAAGATGTTAATAAAATGCCGGCATCACATGTGGCCTCACTTCCAAGTAAAACCAGAAGTGGCATCGCATCACTCTCGTAATCGCTGGAAACCACGGTTCTCTACCGTAGAGCTGCTGGTGATCCTTTGAGGGACGTGACATCACTTTTGGGGTTTTCCTGGAAGTAATGTCATGCCCTGACCTGGATAGGCCAGGCTAGTCCAACCATATCAGATCTCAGAAGTGAAGCAGTAGAAATGGGCATGAACCCCCCCCCCCAAAAAAAAGCTTCTTGGTTCATGGTTCATGCGGACTCCTGAACTGAACGTGAACCGAAATGGCCTCTGATGAACCAAACCAGTTTCATAAGTTCATGACAGGGGAGAATGCCCCCCCAAGGTTCTAGAGACTCCAAACTCGCAGGGGATGTCCAGCTGACTCTCTTCTACCTGCCTTCCAAGTTTGCTGAAGATTGGACATGTGGGCTCTGAGTTGCGGCCCTGCAAAGAAGATGCTCCCAGGAAAGTGCTTTTTGAGGAAATGACAGGTGCTGGTTGAGGAGTGTATAGAATGGACCCTGTGGCACCTTGCAACAGACCCCCCCCCCAAACATGCCCTCCAAGGTATGTACAGACTGGACTTGGGGGGGGGGCTGAGTTGCAGCCCCCAAAGGCAGTGCCGCCAGGAAACTGGGTTCGGCAGGTGTGGGTTCTGGACCTTAGAGCTGGTGGGACAGACCCTGTGCGAGCTCTAGAGGCATCAAACACGCAGCGGACCTCCCCGGGATGCACCCCTTCCCTGGAAGCAGGTGGGAGGGAACCTTGACCGGCACTGTTGCCCGTGGCCGTGTCCACTGACCAGATGACTGCAGGGCCACGGCCCCGCCCAGGCCTGGGAGCCACCCTCACAGTCGGTGGCTGTGGTGCAGGGCAGGGACCACGCTCCCACCCTGCCTGGGCCCCGGAGCCACCCAAACAACAGGTGGCAACAAGGTCCACCCTCTCCCACAGGCAAGGCAAATGCAGGGCCTGGCCAGCCCTCCCATGATCCTGCCTGGACCCAGGAGCTGCCCGCCCCCCGCAGGGCAGGTCGCTGACTCCCCAGGCCCCCCACAGGCAAGGTGAGCATAGGGCAGGGCCAGCCTACCCCTACCTGCCTGGGCCCAGGGGCCACCCACACGGCCAGTGGCTGACCTCCCAGGCCCCGCCCTTGCTACGCAGGCCAGGTGGTTACAGAGCAGGACCAATCCCCCAACTCCAAAGTTTTACCAAACTTCAACTTTACCAGACATGCACCGGGAACTGTCCCATGTTTGGAACTCCCAGGCATTTTAAGTTTTTTTGCATGACCTGAATTCTAGAAAAGGAATTAAGCCTTCTCCCTGCACCATTTTCTTGACCTGAAAGAAGAAGAGGAGGAGGAGGAGGAGGAGGAGATTGGATTTATACCCCACCCTTCACTACCCGAAGGAGTCTCAAAGTGGATTGCAATCCCCTTCCCCTCCCTTCCCCACAATAGACACCCTCTAGAGGGGGGGGGCGGAGTTGAGGGCAGAAGAAAAATGCTGTGGTCCACAGGGAACGGATATGGGATCCAATCTGTCTTCTTTCCATTACTCCCTGGTCAGCCCTTTCCTTCCATCTGTCCATCAAATAAACCCTAAATTCCTCTTTCCCCACTTCCGTTTGAAGCTACCTTATACTGAATTAGACCATTGGTTCATTCTATACTCAGACTGGCATCAACACTCTGGGGGTCTCAGGTAAAGGTCTTCCACATCACCTGCTGCTTTCAACTGAAGATACTGGGGATGGGACTCGAGACCTTCTCCGTGCTGAGCAGATGCTCTGCCACTGAGCCACAACCCCGCCCCTACTTACTTACTTTTCATTCATGAAGAATCCATTCCCTCATTCAGATACTTGTCCTGACCTCTTTCGCCATCCCACTGTTTCACAACTGATATATCTCCTTTGCTTCACTCTTTTCATTAGTACCTCCCCCTACCAGAGTTCCCTCTAAGCTGAGTTAGTGTGAACTAGCTCACAGTTTTTTAGCTTCCAGCTCACAGATTTTTGACTTCGCTCAGAAAGGATGGCTCCAGAGCGAACTAATTTATGCAGTAGCCAAATTGCTTGGTCACAACTTTAATGCCAGTAGCTTACAAAGTAGAGTTTTTTCTCAGAAGACTCCACAGCTTAGAGGGAGCATTGCCCCCTACAGCCTATCAGCCGCCTGAATAGCCCAGCTTAACCTGGGCTCATCAGAGCTTGACAGCTAAACAGGGTTGGCCATGGTCAATATTTGGATGGGAGACCACCAAGGAAGACAGCAGCTGTTATACAGAGGAAGGCAGTGGCCAAGCACCTCTGCTTGTCTCTTGCCTGGAGTGTTCTGTGGGTGGTGGGGTTGCCATGAGTGGGTTGCAACTCAATGTGCATGTTCTTCTTAATCTCCATACAGCCTGTCACACCTCCACTCCATATTCCTTCACCCTGCTTCCATTACCACTCAACGTGCTACCTCCAGAGGTCTGAAAGGACATTTCTCTTCCTGGTGTTACGGGGCCTCAAATGTCAGATGTAGGCCCCCTAGGCCGGGCACAGAGGTCAATGGCAAACCTTGCGGGGAGGGACAGGGTGTGAAGCTAGGACAGGAGCACCGACTGGGTGGGCTTTGGGTTGAAACTGAAGAACTTCCATCCTGCCTCTTCACAGGTACTTCATGAATGTTACGTGGGGACAGAAGGATTTTTCTTTTAATGAAGATGGGTACCTCATCAATCCATCCTTGGCCGTGATCTCTCTCAACAAAGAACGCACATGGGAGGTGGTGAGTTTGAGGGAGGGTTTTTTTTGGGGGGGGGGGCTGGCTGCTGGGAGCAGGTAGATCTGGCAGAGATCACTGGACCAGCCAGAGCAGTCTGCCAGCCGAGGGGCATGATTTGTCCTAGCAGTTCTAGTTCTGCATCCAGACACAAAGAGAATAAGGTCGTGGATATTGCAACCGTCTCTTCCTTTCACTTCCAGGTCCTTTCTGAAGGAACTGGCCCTCATGGGCGAGACTCAGGAGCGGGAGCGAGTCTTGGCTCATTTTTCCCAGCGCTATTATGAATGCAACCCCAAAACCATCTCTTCTGAGGGTGAGACACCAGGACGGCCTAGAAGAAGATTGGGGTGGGGGGTTGGGGTTGGGGTGAGGTGACGCACTCAGACTCGATCAGGAACCAAACAATCCGTTCCGTTCTTTGTGGGCGGGGGCTGCTGCCTTGCCAGCCAACCTGTGACCCTTTGTGACTTTCCCCCTTTGGGGTGTGGGGACAGACTAGGAGCTGCACGCACGGGGACTGGAGCTGGTGCCTCAAGAGGAGCAGCAGGAGCCGGGAAGCTGGGTGGGGTGTCGTGAAAGCGGGGGTGGGGGCTGGTCCTCCTTTTGCTTTGGCCACCCGGGGAGGAGCCAGGCTGCTCGGGGCGGCCCTCCTCACCCCCCCCCCCGGCACGTGCACCCTTGAGCAAGACACCAGAGTCACAGGACTGTGCCCCGGGGTCATGCCGTAAAACACAAGGTGGTAGCAGAAGCGTTGCCGGGGCCGCTCACGGCCAACGTTGGCCCACAATAAATTCATTAACGCAGAACAGTTGATTGCGGACAAAAACTTTTAAATGCCCGACATATCTCCAAGAAGTAAAAAAGTGAGCATGTCGGAGTCACCTAATACATTTCCCCCGTTGGGTGTATTGATGCGTACAGTATAGCTACCCGGGTCAGAATAAAGGGGAAGGGGCTCTGCCACTCTAAGTAGTGAGAGCCTGTGCTTGGTGTGCAGAGGCTCTCCGAGTTGGAGGCCTGGTGCCTCCGCCTGGGGAAGGACCACCCCCCCCACCTGGGATCCTGGAGAGCTGTGCCCAGTCTGAGTAGACTGGGGTGGAGGAGGAGGAGGCCTTGTGGGACCAGCGATGCTCTGATTCGGTCCAAGGCAGCTTCGCATAGCTTCATGGATGATACATCGAACTCATTCAGCTTTTCCTCCCAGAGATCCATCCATCCGCGACCCCTGGTGCACAGAATGCTACTGGGTGTTAGTTAGACAAGGCCTTTAGCAGAGGTGTGGCCCTCGTGCAGGACTCAGTCACGTGAGGCGCTGCAAACAGGTGGGTGGTTTGGCTGGGAGCTGATGGATGATGCTCTGCTTCTGGTCTCTGTGCTACAGACGGCGTTCACACCCTGACCTGCGCTCTGATGCTCCTAAACACAGACCTTCATGGACACGTAAGTGCCTCCGTCCTCCAGCCCCCTGGCTGCGGTCTTGGACATCTTTGCTGGAATGGGGGGTGGCATCTGTATGAGAAAGATTCCTTTCCCCCCCCGCCCCCCGGGGTGGTGTGGGGGCTTAGTTTCTGCTGAACTGAACAAGTTCTAATGTACCTCTAGGTTGCTCCCCCCCCCTTCCATGTGCAGTCCCCCGTTCATCAGGTGCCTCCGTAGAATGTTGAGGTCAAAAACAAAACAAGAAAGGGGGATAAAAGAAAGGAATATTGGGGCACGTTATCCATGCTGCTTGGCAGAGAGAGGAGAAATAGGGTGGTGGGACCCAAAGAGGCTGAGGAAGCCAACACACAACTAGCAGCAGCTGATGGACCCACATCCTGCATGAATTTATCCAGCCCTCTTTGGAAAAGCCATACGAAGAAGCCACAGCTGGACATGCAGCGATTCCCACCCAAGTTGACCTCCCTTGATTCTGCTCCTGAGGACCCTGTTCCTCCCTGATATCCTTCTTTCTCCACCCCTAGAACATCGGGAAGCGAATGTCTTGCTCAGATTTCATTGGGAACCTGGAGGGGCTCAACGGAGGGGGCGATTTCTCCCGGGATCTGCTCAAGGTAAATCCTGCCGACGTTAGAGCTCTTCCTGGGCCAGTGGGAGGGGTCCGGAGAGCGCCTCTGGCTGCCTTCTCAGGGATCGGGGTCCTCCTGCCACTCGGCACGTCTGACGTGCTTTTCCACCCTGGAGAGATCCTTCGAGTGGGAAGAAGTGGCCGCCACTTCTCTCAGGGAAAAGGGCTGCAGCCTAGCAGACTGCTTTCTTCCGCTGGGGTATTTCTTGACACTGAGGCCTGGTGTGAATCGGTGCGCTTGGAAACAGAAGAAGGCCGGCTGAGTGTTGATAACAAGCACGGCTCCATCCCCAGGATCCAAAGGGCGCAAGATTCTGTGTGGAGTCTGATAAACTGGCACAGAAAGGTTCCTTGGAAGTGTCTGACTTCTTCGGGGCGTCGTGTGTTTTACATTTAAGAGAAAGCACAGATTTCCCTGCATCTAAGTTCCCACGCTGGCAATGCTGCTGGCTATGCTTGGGAGAAGAGGGGCGGCGTTTGGGATGCCCCTGGAGATGTAGAGGACTGAACAGAGCCACTCAGAGGTGGCAGGTGGGGGGGGCAGCTGTCCAGTCTTGCAAAGCTCAGGGACCACACTGGAACTGCCGCCTAAGCTCTGCATGGCAGGAGACACGCCCAGCCCGATGCCAGAATGCCAAGATGTCAGCCTACCCCCGTTCACAGACAAGGCTCAGCCCGGAAGACGCAGTGCGTGTCGCTGTGGCACATCCAAAAACGTTGCACTCCAGGGGTGCCTGCAGGGAGGGGGTTCAAATTGTGCAGACAGACAGCCTGTGTGTATTAATGGGTGCGAGCAAATTTGACTCGGCTGTTCTGTGCTCACAGGAACAGGAAGGAAAGGGGTGGAGGAGGGGAGCGAAGAAGACCCCAGAGGCCCCCCGAAAGCAGCCTCCCTTGGGAGTGGGGGGACAGAGAAGGCGGGGGCTCAGATGCTGTCCTGGGGAAAGGTGGTCTCACCTAACGGAGGGTGCTGGGTGGAGCCCCTCCTCAGAAACTGAGTGCCAGTTCCAGCTGGAGGAAAGGCAAGCAGGCAGCTCCCTTTCACGGGCCCTCTTGGGTCCAGCTCCATCGCCCTGAGTCCGGGTGTGGCGTGGTGTTGGAGGACCGCCCCCCCCCCCCGCAATTTGTGCTTCCCTGAAGGTTGCTGAGGTGAGTGAGAGGTCTGACGGGCCGAGCCCCATTAATTCCAAGAAAACTGTGGCGTCACTCTTATTGGGGAACATTTGCAGGGGAGTCCTGAAGGTGTCTGAGGAAGGGGTTAGCTGTCTTCTCCAGCTCTGCTGGATTCATGGCTCCGCACGCCAGAGATCGCCGGGACACGGACAATGTCTCTCAGTACAAATGGTCACTGATCCGGCTGCTTCCTTTCCCTCCCCCTGCCTGACCCTCTGGCCCCGTGCCATCCCTGAAGCCGCCCGCCAAGGAGGGACAGGAGCTGGGCCAGGTCAGCAGCCCCAAAGCAGCCATGCCTCTGGGAGTGGGGAGTAAGCAAGCTCCCCTTGGCACCTGCCCGAAGGCACGTCTGGAAAGAGGAGCCAGGGAGGAGAGTCCGGGCCCGGGGTGGGAACGAGTGAGCAGTTTGAGGGCCTGCTGCTGTTCTGGGGTCTGTGCGTCATTCTGCCCTCCCTGCCGAGGGTCGTCTCCAATGTCCACACTGCCAGACCCACCTGCCAAGGGGATGCATATTTACACGGTTCACAGGAGCAGAGGTTTATGTGGGGTGTTTGTATCTGGAGCCATGGCATAAGCTACCAGTAAGGGTTTGCAAACTGTAGAATGGCGCAGAGTAGTCCAAAAGTGGGTGCACTGTAGATTTATAGAACTGTGTGATGACAGTTGCTGTTTTATTTTCACTCTCTTTCCCAATAATGGCTAATGCTGAATTTGCCAATCAGGGTGCCTTTTTTGTAGCAGACGGGTGATCTCTTCACTAGCCTTGTTCACATGCCGTTAGCCATTTATCTTGCCTGTCTTTGCAGTCAGGTTAGACTGGCTGTTTTGAGCCCAGTGCCTTTTCGCCGGGATCCCCCCCCCCCAAAGTACTGCTTGGGGGCTCTACACTGGCTTGGTGTCAGGGTGAGACCTGCTCATCCACTACAGGGGCACCCTGCCTGAGGTTTCTTATACCCCAGTATGACGCCGTAGTCTCCACTATGGCTGTAGAAATTGAGTGGGAGGGGAGGAGTCATTTTGCCTCCCTGCATAACCATGTCCGGAGCAGAACCCTAATCTCAGATTCCCCCACTCCTCCTCCACTTGCACCTGGCTGGATGACCTTGGGCAAGCCCTAGTTCTGATAAGAGCTGTCCTTGAAAAAGAGCAGTTTCTGTCAAGAGCTCTCTCAGCCCCACCCACCTTACAGGGTGTCTGTCTGTTGTGGGGAGGGGAAGGGAAAGGAGTTTGTAAGCTGCTCTGTGGGTAGGGAAGGGTGGGGGTATGAATCCAATATCTTCTTCTTCTGAAAGGTTAGGATAGCCACTGTCTCACTTCCCCCCCCCCCCCCCCCCATCGTTATCCTGTTCTGGCCCTTATGCCGGTGAAGTTGCACCAACAGAGGACGTGCACTTTTGGGACAATGCACTGGTGTCAGTCTCTTGCTTCGGCATATCTTGAGCATCAACTGCCCTGTTGAGGTTTCTTGAATGAGATGACTGTGCTACTTCAAAGAGCTTTCCAGTTGTGCTTCATAAACAGTTTTTGCCAGTCCAGATCCAGGCGGGGGCAGCCCTGTTGTTGGTCCGAAGCAGCAGAACATAGTTTGAGACCAGGGGGCACCACTAAGACCAACAGAGTTTAATCCTGGGTATCAGCTTCCGTGTGCAACGGAAAAAGTGTGCCGTGCACATGAAAGCTTATACCCAGAATAAAATTTAGTTGGCCTCAAAGGTGCTACTGGACTCAAATTTTGTAGAACTATACAGATTAGTCCAAAAGTGGGTGCTCTGTAGATTTATAGAACAGCATGATGACATTTGCTGTTTTATTTTCAGTCCCTTTCCCAATACTTCCTCATGCTGAATTTGCCATTTTGTGTGCTGCAGCACACAGGTGTTGCATTCATTGTTCGTGTGGTCATACGCGTACTGGGTAAATGTGGGGTTTTAAATCACACATTCAGCTGTACGTGTATGGAATGTAACGTGAAAATTACTTAATGCACGTGTACAGAAGAATCCCTGTACATGGATTGTACATGCATTCACTGTCACCTGTGAACAGAGATACTGAGTGTCCAGTGGCAACTCCGAGATCTCTTCCCAGGGTAATCACAGCCCCCAGTATGTCAGGCCAGCAAGTCCTTGCTTTGCGCTGTGCACCTTCTTATCTTAAATCTCACTTCGCCTTTTGTAGCCCCGTTTGGAGAGTGCCTGAG